CACTCCTCTGCGTGTCTTAAACGCATGGTTAGATAGCAGACGCAAAAATACAGAAAATCCGCCAACTACAGAAACGAAATTCAGTACGGCACTCGGCTCTTACAGTAATCCGCTGATTGTAAAAGCCGAGTGCCCGTACTGAATTTTCGTTTCTGTGGGTCAATTAAGCAAAGCAAATGGCAACACGTAGTTTTATTCCGACGTTTATGGCCTCGAGAAATGAATTTCGTCAAGCACAGCCGACTAAACCTTCACTGAATCGAGATAAAAGAGAGCGTACTGTTTCGCTGAATGGCTTTGCAGTTTGAATTAGGACGGCTTCCACACGCACGGATATTTCACCGGGAGGATACAGCCCGCCACTCCGGTCCCCCTACAAGAGGGGAGGCCCGATTGAAGAAATAAAAGGGTGCAGAGAACTACACTATAAGTTGTTTTACGCGCAAGTTATCACCACGCCCTCCTACGCAGAATGTCTTCGCGTGCTTGTATCCGATGCGTTGGACGGAGGAAGTGAGATGATCTCTCTCTATGTATAAACTTATTACAGGTGACATTGCTTTGGAGCTACTTGGAGATCTATTCACAATGCCCCCAAGTGTTGGTACAAGAGACATGGATATCGAGTACGACCTGACAAGCCAAACACCACTGTTTACGGTAGATCATTCGTTGTCAGAGTCGTTCTTTGTAAGGTGTCCTGGAATCAATTTTCTTTTCAAGTGGGGGCGATCCTGCTCTTTTTAGAACCGCGTAGCTGAACTTAGTTGAGAACATGAGCGTTAAGCAAAGGCCGGTTATTTAGTTGTCAAGTGTCAGAGTACCACTGAAAGGGGTCTGTGTGACAGAAACGGCGCTACTATTGCAATTTCATTTATTTAGTTACCATTATGTCGCTCGGCTGACGCCGTGCTTCCCACCTGGAGACCGTGCAGGGACATCGAATCGCAGATCGTGCGAGATTTTTTGTCAATGTCAATCAGTTATGGATATCATTGAAAATACTGCAGCATATGGTACCAGAAGAAGGCTGGACGTCCTTCGTTGCTGACTGATAGAGAGAAGCGCCGTTTTTTGAGAGAAGAGTCGAACTCCACCAAGTTCTGTATGGAAATCCGATCGTCTCTGAACCTTAGTGTCTCAAAAAACTTTTGGAAGGTGACCAGAAAGTCCAAGTTTATCGTCAAGCGAAAAATGCGTAAGGCGCCCTTTGTAAAAAAAGACATCGAGGAAATGGGGCCGCTTTTGCCAGAGGGTGCAGCCGAAGTGAGGGGAATAAGGTGCTTTCCAGGTGCTGACATTTGTCCTTCCTTCTCTTGATGGTTTTTGTTCTTCAGGTCGTTTTTTCCAATGGAGAGAAGTTCAGTTGTGATGATCCAAGCTGGAACTGTTTTTATTGGAGCGGCCTGGGGAAGGAAAAACCTGCTTTCAGACTGACCTGAGCTTCGAGTGAGGAGGAGTCACGGTTTGAGCCGTGTTTTATCGAGTAGGCGCATTCGTTTATGTTTTGTACCAAAGAAGATGGTTCTTTTATCGAACTGTTATGCGCCGTGCACTTCTCTTTTGCTGGCGTCAGAATCGGCACCGAACTCTTGTTTTTATGCAAGATAACGCCCCAATTCACGTCAGCAGGAGCATCCAGGCTTTATTCTCTCGGCTTCGGATTGCACTTCTGTCCTGGCCGGCGAAAAGCACCGAATTGAATCCGATGGAGAATGTATACGGCTTCATGGTGCGGAAGATCTACGCCCAAAACAAGCAATTCCAAGTACCCTAAAATTCCATAGATAAGAGCGGGTGAGCCTACCGGTGAAAAATGAATTGGAAAAAATCGAAATTGAATGCAGTCACCCCTCTAACTTGATGGA